CCATTTAAAAGGCGAGTTTGAACTCCGGGGGTAATCGATGAGAGTCACCGGCGAGTGGAGGGACGACGGTAGCAAGAATAACACGACACCTCGATCAAACTCTTCTCTCTCAACGTTCAACAAAAACACGTTCAATTTCAACGTGAGACGGATCCTCTGCGACGAGGAGGATCAACGAGAGGGCAGAAGCTTCTGCTCGAATCGATAGCCGACGAAAAAAGGGGGGTTTTCTTGGGGGATATTTTGCGCAGGGAGCCGGCAGGGACGTCGGAGGCCGGAACTCTTTTCGTTCACCTCGTGGCTCGAACTCGTCTCTCCTCGTCTCTCCTCGTCCCTCCTCGCTACACCGGGGGTGTGGTGGTGGGAAGCGGAGGGGGTGAAAGCCACCCTCTTGCTAGACCCGAGAGCCCCGTCTCTCCCCTCTAACCCTGCGGAGGTCCGTCCGACTCGTCGATGACGAAACGCACACGTAAATTCGTGGACGTGCACGGTGCTGCCGCTCGCGAAATCAGTGCGACCCAAGTGCACCGCGAGGCAGGAACGCGGGTCTCCCGTGCGCGGCCTGTCGTTCCCGCTTGCGGCACGCGCGCCTCTTCCACGCCAGTATATCGCACAGTCAGATAGCGGAAGACGCTCGCGTAAATAGGTCGCTGGATATTGTCGCTCGACGGTGGTTTGCTCGACGGGTAAACAGCCGAAGGGGAATCGTTGGAAACTCACCACCGGGCGGAGAGAGAGAGAGAGAGAGAGAGAGAGAGAGAGGGGATCAATTGACAGATGGTGATGGAAAAAACGTGCCGGGGAGGGAAAAAGTGACTGCGATCCAATGCTCGAGAGAGAGAGAGAGAGAGAGAGAGAGAATACATAAACTCGATACGAAATACGTGCGATAGAACGATGCTAGTAATTGGCTGAAATGACCAACACTATGTTTAGATGTAGTCGAAGTGACTGAGCAAACATCGTGAACAACGAGAAAATGACTGGGAATGGGAGAACGATCAGTGCGTTAAACATTCAGCAGTTTTGCATTGGAGATTAGGTGTACGTGTGCACAAGGGTGTTGCTTCCTTTTTTTCTTTTTTCTTTTTCCTCTCTCTTCTTTCTCTCTCTGTCTTTGGTGAATCAGCATGATACGAGTGACGTTGTACAAACAAGATGCAAGTGGAGACGGCAGAGAGACCGAGATTTCTTTTCTGTTCATAATTGGACGAAAGACGAAAGACTGAAAAGAGGATACAGAGGACATAAAAACGACGAAGAATCAACTTGCTATAAAATATATATATATATATATATATATACACGTACACAGACAGAACCAAGGATAAAGTTGCAGAGAGAGAAAAAAATTGGAACGAAACAAGCTGTTGACATCGATCGTTGATAAAGGAAAACGTGAATTCGTGAGATGCGTAACGATCGAACGAATTAAAAAAGGTGGGAAAGAAAGAAAAAAAGAAGGGGGGCGCGTGGGAGGTGATGAAAAGAACGGCAAGGGCCTCGAAAACGTCGATGTTGCAGTTACTATGACGCAGCTGCTCCGACGTGTTGCGACGTCGTGTCCAGCGTGTAATTGACGGATCGAGACGCGATCGAGTTGTAGGCCACGTTGGTCGGTGG